CCCCCCCCGGCCTGGACAGCTGAGAGTGGGCAGCCCTTCATGGCCCATTCCCTGGAGCTTGGAGGAGGACTTGCCTAGAAGTCTGAAGAACACATCCCACCTGACCTGTCTTCACTGCCCCTAATTGTTTTCTAAAATCCTTTTTATTGAATTATCAGAGTGTAATGGAAGAGTCGATGAGAATTGCAGCCGAGTTACAAGGCCAGCACTGTCTGGGTGGAAGAGAGCAAAGCTCTAAAGCCTCCCCTGGCTGGATGTGGAATAAAATATGTATTTTTACATAACTGGGAGAAAAAAATAAACGGGCAAGGCCACCCCATGGGGGAAACGCCTCTCTTTGCATTTCCATTATCTTGTTGGTGAGAAAGGAAATACTGAGCCTTCCCCCTCTGAGCCTGCTGGTGTTTCAGAGGCAGAAATCCAAATGGCCTGGGCACGTGTTCTCCGAAACCCATTAAAACTAGGGACAGGTGGGAGGAGGGCTAGGCAGACCAGAACCGGTGTGTTGGTTTGAGACAGTGTCTTCTGGGGTTCAGAAAGTACCCTCGCTGGACTCAGGTCCATCTTTAGTTCTGGATGGAATATTTCAGGTAGGATCTTCCCCTTGAGGAGGTGAGTGTGGAAGGAGATAGTCCCCAACATTTACTGAGCAGCTCGTGGCATTCTGGTTAGTGAATCTCTTGCCTTTGCTGCTGTCAACTCCTTTATACAAATGAGAACACCGACTTGCCCTAGGTCACACAGTAGTGAGAGGCCGACCCCACACACCTTTCTGTAGTTCTGACTGTGCTGGAGGCTGAAGGGGAAGATGACCTTGTCAGGGGAGCCAAACCCCATGCGGCTGGCAGGCTCCTGGCAGTCTCACAGGGGAGCTGTCTGCCCTAATATTTGCATGTCTATACCTTTTTATTTTTTTTTAGCCTAAATTTATTTTTCTGGAGATAGAATTCTCTAGAGAAGGTAGTGGTGATCCCAGTGCAGTGAAGAGCCCAAGTCTAGGGATCTGGAGAGCTCAGGCTCTAGCCTCGGCTTTTATGCAGACTTGCTTTGTGATGCTGATTGAGTCAGGTGCAAAGGACAGGTGTGTGATTTCCACTAGGCCGCTTCCAGGTGGACACGGAAAGGCGGAATGAGTGCTGTTGCTACAGTTGGGAGTCTCAGGAGCCACGTGAGGTGAAGCTAACATAGAAAAAAGGTCTGGAATCAGAAGGTGACTTCCAGTCTCCACCGCATCCCCCCCAACCCCCCATTCCAACCTGCAGGCCCATCGTAAGGGCGCGGTAACTCTCGCAAAGGCCGGCCAATGGTCACCCGATCCAGCGAGGGTGGGGGCGGGGCTAGCGGCCCCGCCCCCAGCCCGCGGAGGCCGAGGCGCTGATTGGGCAAGTGCTGCGGGGCGGGGCTCGCCGCAAGCTCACCTGGCCGCCCCAGCGCAGCCCAGCTCAGTGGCTTAGGGAGCCTCAGAGCACCTGTGTGTCCGTGCGACTTCTGCCCGACTCCGGCCGCGCCCGCCCGCCATGGGCCCTCACTGCAGCAACCTTTTCGTTCTCTTGCTGCTGCTGCAGGTATGTCCGACCACCTGACTTTGCGGGGGGCACAGTATCCCCGCCCAGTCCCGTGTCCCTTTCTCGCTGCTGTCGTCCCCGCTGTCTCTTCAAGAAAGTTTGAGTCCAAAGGGCCTCAACCGCCTGGAAGTTGCGCAGCGCTCTGGACTCCACGGAGACGGGCGTGGGATGGGAGCGGACGAAAGGGGAGAGCGATTTCGTCCACTCGCTCTTCCAGATACTTGAAGTGGGGGCGCGCTCGCTGTAGCCTCTGGGGACTCCGGGCTGGCGGCAGGCTGGTTGGGCAGGCAGTGGAGCGTGGAGCAGGATAGGGGTCGGGTTATAAAACAGGGGAGTCCCAGTACGAATTAAGGGGGAGTCAGCGGTAGTGGGGATGACTGCTGTGGTAAGGGGAACGTGCCAGGTAAATAGAAGCTGATAAATAGGTATGGGGCGCGCCCGGGTCAAGAAAGTGAAGTCTAAAGAGGCTGGTGCACCCTTCGGTATGAGGAAATAGACGCAGGCGCTGGGGAAAGTAAAGGTACCGCCAGTGAAATTACCAGGAGACAGGATGGAAAGCGGTGCTAGTCGGGAAGGAGGGTCGCCAGAGTAGACCCCGCTCTTGGGGGTTCCTGGGGCGTTGGCGACCGGGTTTCGAGTTTGGTTGGCGAGGCTGCCTGCCCGGGGGTGGGGTCGGGGTGGGGGGATGCCTCCCGCAACCCCGACGCCTGGGGCTAGGGCGAGGCGGCGTTTTTTGGTTTCGGCGCCGGTAGGAGTGGATCCCCCAAGTCACCCGGGTTCCCTACCTTTCCTCCACCCCAGGTCTCATCGTGGCTCTGCCAGGAGCCAGAGCCCTGCCGCCCCGGCTTTGGCACCGAAAGTTACACATTCACCGTGCCCCGGCGGCACTTGGAGAGAGGCCGAGTCCTGGGCAGAGGTGAGGGCGCGCCGCCAGGGTCCCGAACCGGGTGGTGGGGAGCCGGGAGCGGCGGGGAACTTGCGTTTCCACGCCCCTGCGTGGGACCCGCCAAGCCCCACCTTTTCTGGCTCCACCGCCGCGGCTTTGGAATACTCGGACTTTGGCATCTCAAGTGGTATTGCGGTGGAGGCCTCGGCGGCGGGGCCTCTCCTTGGTAAAGACGCTGGGCTGGGGGAACTTATTAGAGTCCTTCAGCGGGTTTACATTGCGTCGAACACATTGGGGACAGCCTGAAGAACCCTGAAGTGCGTGTGTGGGAGCAGTTATTCCAGTTGTACAGATGAGCAAAGGGGGGTTCCGGAGGATGGGTCACCTGCCGTGGGTCAGCAGATCTCTACCACCTGCGCCCTCTCTGGGATGGCTGTTGAGCGTTCCCCCGTGGCCTTTACTCATAGAGATGACAACATTCTGGTAAAGGTACTGTTTCCTCCAAGGAATAATGGTGTCTTTTTGAAAAGCATGGCCCTTGTGACTCAGGGAATGAAAACGCACACAACGTCCTTCTCGACCTTATCACAGCGATAATCGGGATTCTGGCGTTTGCTGTGTACCACTCCACTTTGCCCAGCAGTGAGCTAAGCAAGGCTGGTTTCTCTTGTGGTTTCACTGATACCCAGGTGCTTATTTCCGGTCAGAGCCCTCCCTGTTGACTTTAGGTGACTGGATAAGTAGTAGCTTAACAATGAAACACTTTTCAAACCGAAAAAATCACCCACAATTCCTTGGAGGGAATAGGTATTTTTTTTTCCTGACAACGTAGGGCCACCTGAAAAATCTACAGTTGTTGTCTGAAAACTTTTGAACTTTATTTATATTTTTATATATTTTAAAATTATTTTATTTACTTTTTTATATAACAGCTTACTTTTACATCATTTTGTGCATTTTTCATCTCAGTTGTAATCCCTAAATTTTTAACTTTAAAGATTTATTTATTTATGTGTACAGAACCAGAGGTGCAGGGAGAGGATTCATCAGAAACAGAGTGGAGAGCAGAACAGGCAGATCCCACAAAGTACACTGCTGAGGGGGGGTAGGGGGTACAGGAGAGGTCTGCTGGGCCATGTGGGAGGGCCCCAACTTTTGGAACTTTAAAAGCTTTTTTTTTTTTTTTTTAAAGATTTATTTATTTATTCATACAGAACTGGGGTATAGGCCAGATGCTCAGGGACGGTGAGAGGCTTCACCAGAGACAGAGTGGGGAGCAGAACAGGCAGATTGACGAAGTACACTGCTGAGGGGAGCAGCGGGCGGGCCAGGAGAGGTCTGGCTCGCCATGTGGTCTCCTCCGGGGCAGGGGGCAGGCGGGAATCGAACTCATGCGGAAGTGGCTTCAGATTCTCAGTGCTGTGCTTTAACCCGCTGCGCCACCAGGGAGGGCCTAAAAGCTTTTTTTTTAATGTTGAAACTGCAACTTGATTGGTTTTTCTGAGGCTCATGTGTGTTGTGTGGGGCTTTCTTTGAGGCGGGAGAGGAAGTGTTGCCTGTTTTATGGCACAACGGGGTCACCATTCTGCCCCCCTGTGCTCCGGCACTGGGAATGAGTTGAGATCCTGGACGGGTGCTGCAGCGCCAGCTTAATATTTCCTATTTCAGGAGGTCCCCTGAGAGGGTGCTGTGGGGCATGGAAAAGTAGGTGCCAAAGGCCTGTGCGATTTGCATAGATAGCAGTGGCTCCTGGGAGCAGACAGTGTCACCCCAGCCTGTAGGAGTGGGTCAGAGGTCAAAGCTGGGCCGTGTGTGAGGGCAAGGGGGAGTTGTGCACGTGACTGTTTTCTTGGTACTGCCAAGAATGGATTAATTTGCTTTTTATCCCCCCTCTAAATTCTTGTATGTGACGAAGTATTTTGCAACCATCCCAGGCCAGGTAGGTCCACCGTTGGTTCTAGAGTCTTGAAGAATTTTGGAGCTTTGGCATCATTTTCACAGATAGCAACTCGAGCAGCCCTCCAGAATGCTGCCGCCCTTTGCCTGCTAGGCACGTTGTGCTCACTTGCACACGCGCGCTCACACCCATGCCCAGGTGTCCATAGTCAGGCACATGTGCTCCTCACCCGAGAACCTGCTACAGTAACAAGGTCAAGGCTGCAGGTGATAGCAACTGAGGCCAGTGGCGTAAATGCCTGATCAACTTCATTTACCCTACAGCTATTAATCTTATGTATTAATTACAGTTGTTAATAATGGCGCCTGTATGCTTTTGAATCAGTCTGGAGCCAGCGCTTCCTTCATGTGTTGCTCTCATTTAATCTCCCCAAGAACCTCGTGCAGGGGCATTGTGGTTATTTCTAGGTTGCAGCTGAGGCAGACCCAGCATAATGCGGTTGAGCGCTGTGTTTGGGGATGCACAGCTGATCTTTACAGTCTCAGGAAAGAGAAAGCTGTTGGGAACTAGTGTCCGTTGTAAAGTAGACTTCCCCCTGGGTGCCCTGGAGAGCAGAAGTGTTGATGGACAGGCCCAAGAGGAGGTGGTGGCGATGGAGAGGGGCCCGCAGCTGGTTCTGGTGGGGTGAGGCTGCCTCCAGCTGTTGCCGAGATTGCTTCCAGATGCCCTCCTGTCTATACTCAATTCTCATTCAACACATTTCTCACATTTCACTTTTGGGGGCCATTTTGAATGTGGGGTTTCCTTCTTCCAATCCAATGTGAAATTACCCCAGAGTGGAATTGCCCTTTTGCTAAAATGGCTATGTGATCTTTAAAAAAAAAAAAGCCAGTGCCTAGGAGGATGGGCTCACTCTTGGACAGTCTGGAAACACAGAGGGCCGTGGCATCCACACAGGCCCCGGAGCTTTGCTGAAGGGTGACTGCACAGGAGTTTGAAAAGGAAGGGGAGCCACCTCTTTGGCCCACAGGTGCCTGCAGAGTCATGTAAGGGTTTTCTTGGAAGTGACATTGGCTCTAATGTGACAGGTTTCAGGGGTACAGCCTTAGAAGTCAACATCTGTGGACTTCATGACTCTCACCCCCAAATGTCTGGTTTCCATCTATACCACATGGTGGATCCGTTTGACAAAAAATAGGATTTCAACTGGTCAGGGCATCTTGGGGTGGTTTGTTGGGATCGCTTCTTGTGACCACTGAGATGAGTGACCCCACAATCTCAGCCTGGTATTCCATCAGATTCCAGAAGGGAGAAGGTCAAAACATAGGAAAGTGCTTTCTTTTTCCCTTTTCTTGGTGCAAACTGATTTGTGAAACTTAGCTTAGGTAAGTTTTGGGCCTCTGAAGTATTCTCCTAGTGCTCTTGACTTTAAGTTGATGGGGGAGGGGAGGTTGGCAGTCAGGCTCTGAAACCTAAGGTTTTCCTTATTTGCTTCTTCCTCCCGCCATTGGACAAACAGAGCTTATATCTTGGGTTAGAGCTGGGGCCCACTGATGGATTGTAGGTGGAAAACACCCATTTCCATTTCTTCCTGATGTGCTTAAAGGTAATGGACAACAGTATGTAGGTTCCCAGCAAAACTGGGCTTTAAGAAAACAAATAGAGAAACCAGCTTGAGATCACCTTACATCACTCACCTTACATCACATCATCCATCAGCTCCCCACCCCCCACTTCCCGATGATTACTCACTCAGGTGACCAGGGCTGGTGCAGAGCTCCAAGGCTGGTGGTGGCTTTTCCTCCTGCCCTGGCCTCTGGGCCTCACAGGAGCTGGGAGGCGCAGAGGCGTGGAGAGTCTTGGGCCTACAAGGCCTTGTAAGGAAGGCTGGCTGCTGCCCTCCTCTCCCCGTGGAGCCGTCCCCACCCTTCCTCTCACCAGGCCCTTCTGGAAATCCTGGTTTGCTCTCCTGGGCTTTTTACTAGGTGAGCCTTTTCTTCTGAAAGGCTCACCTTGGTGTCAGTTACACATTCCCTTCCAGGTATAGCCCCAGATAAGCGAGACGCTTCAGTAATCAGCTTGCACATCTCTCAGAAGCTGCCAAAACCCTAAAATCCCCGAGAGGCACCTGTCACCAGCCCAACTTTCTGAGTTTCCACTGTCTCAACCCCCATTATGTTCAGGGCTCTGGGCTCTCTCAAGGAGGGGGTTGAACTCTGCATCTGGGATGGTGCGCGCTGGCTTGCTGCACGGCCTTGGGCAAATGGCTTTCTGTGTGCCTCAGTCGCCCCATCTGTAAAATGGGGAGACGGGGAGGGGCCTAACATTGACGGATTTGTTGGGACTTAAATATGTGTATTCACTCAAGGGTCAGTAAGCCCCAGTGCCTGTCAGTGTCCACAGGGGCTGGACCTCGGGGTTAGTGCTTCCTAAAGCCGGTGTGGGCAGGACAGCAGTGCAAGTTCGTCAGGATGGACAGAACAGCCAGGGTTAGAAGTGGAGGGCCTGTTTCTTAGGGACAGAGTAGGCTTTCAAATAGTGCTGTGAAGAAATGGGTCTGCACTGCCCCTCACGCCTGACGTGGCATATTTCTCCTCACCCTGGCCTCAGACCGGCCCTCCATGTTGGAGGTAAATGGCCGGGAGAGTTGGCTTTGCAGAAGGGCCTCAAGTCGGTGAGGGCTGCGCCCCCAGTGTTCCTTGGAACACAGCTGCAGTGTTAAGTGTGTCCTGGGATATGCTGTACACTGAGTACTTCTGAAAGCCCCCAAGGGCACAGACGGCACCCTCAGACCTGAGTCCAGAAGTGGAGAGGCAGTCGGCCATTCTCTTTGGTCAGTAAAAATTTGTGGCAGTCTGGCCTTTGCTCTCTTCTTCTCTCCTCAGCTTTCACGCAGTCCCTTCTGCACACCTCAGCTTTTGCCTGGTACTGTTGGGTGTGTGTGTGTGGTGGTGGTGGTGGTGGTGGGGCTTTGGTTCCCCTATCTTTTTGCACGTTTCCTCTTCCCTATCCTCTCCTTCCTCTTATCTGTCCCCAACCGCTGCTTCCCTCAAAGCCCTAGTGACATCATCCCACCATTTAGAACCACACAGTGCCTCCAAGGAAATCCGTGTGCTGCCCTTGGCCAGCTGAA